TTTATTCCGATTTAAGCAAACATGCCTTACGAATTGGGATTTTACTTTTACTCCTCTTTTTATTTTTTACTTGTATTCGACTCTGTGAATTTCCACAAATGTAAATAAAGTATTATAAGTTATTTGTATGCATACAATATTAAAATTATAACTTAGATAATAATATTATATATTAAACATAAAGTATTATGTACTGTGTATGCACATAATATTAATTATAAGTTAGATATTAATATTATGTTTAAAATTTGATATTTGGTTAAAATAAATAAATAAAAAATAATTTTATTGCATATGAATCACTATATTGTTTACACAAGAATTAATAAATAATATAATTTTTGTAATTTTAAGAGATCATGACCAGTTAATTAGCTAAAAATATTAAATTTATTATAAAAACTGCTTATATGATTTTAATGAATTTTTCTATGACATTAAGATAAATTAATTTATCTAAAAAACAATCACTTAATCAGATAAATAAATATATTATCAACTTTAGAATAAATAAATTGAAAAAAAAAATTACAATATAATATTTTCTGTTATATAACTTTCATATATTATTTGTCTAAAATATAATTATTAATTTTAATAATAACTATTATATGATACAACAGAAATATAATTATTACTAAGTAATATAAAGTGTAACGAATTTTGTCTTAATTAACAAAAAAAAAAGTGAAAAAAAATATTTTATCATTAATGAGATAGATTAGATTAATGTAAAAGTAATAATAATAATAATAATAATAATATATGATTGTAATGGTTATTGAAGTGAAAATACCATATAGATAAAATTTATCAAATTTTATTTAATGATTTACTAGTAATTATATATAAAAAAATACTAATATGCCAACCTAGTGTATAACCATTTTTTTTTCGATATAAAGCGTACAACCAAGTTGACAACACACATGAAAAATCTATTAAATTTTGTTAAAATTTTCTTAAGGTGTCTTAATTGGGAAAATGAGACAAATGATCCTATAACTTTAAGCCTTTTTCGTTTTGGTCCTCTTCAAATCCACTTTTTAATTTTGGTCCCATAACTTTAAATATTAAAGCATTTTTTGTCCTTTTTTGGCCAACGGGCCAATTTTTCCTGCACTTTTCCTAAGTGGACCCGAAGCAACAAAAAAATAAATAACAAATAATATAAATAACAAAAAAAATAAATAACAAATAACTTATTATATAAACAAATGGTCCAGTGAATTGTCCATAAATATTCCAATTGCCCTAATTTAAAAATTAGGTCGAATTCAGTGAATTTCATTTGCCTTAATTCTTGCTTCCGATTTTTGCCGTAAATCAAAAGGTGATTCAAATCAGCAAAGCTAATTTCTAACAAGATCCCAACCCTAATTCATGCTTCTGAAAAAACAACCATGTCGTCTTTTACTTCATCGTCTTCTCCTCCTCGGATTGATTACACTCTTCAACAACGATTTGTTTATCGCCTAGGAACCATTCTGTACCAGAATTTACAAAATTGTCAAACAATCTATCATCATCAACAACCTCTTCTTCGAACTCATAATCATCATGCTCAAAATCGGAAATGACCATTGCCCAGCAGAAGACGACGAGGACACCATTTTTTGTCTTAATCTATTTTGGACTTTAGGAAATTGGTGAGATGAAAGAAATTAGGGAAATGAAATGGTAGAAGTTAGGGCTATTGATGATGGAGGGAAATGAAAGCAATTTCCCCTCCCAAATTCAGGTGCAATTAGGGCAAATGAAATAAAATAGGGAAATTTATGAGGTACCCGCGCCATGTGTCGTTTTGTATAGACTATTTTTTGTTGCTTCGGGTCCACGTAGAAAAAGCGCAAGAAAAATTGGCCCGTTGGCCGAAAAAGGACGAAAATGCTTTAATATTTGAAGTTATCAGACCAAAATTAAAAAGTAGATTTGAAGTGGACCAAAACAAAAAAAGTGTAAAATTATAGGACCAAAAAGTAGATTTGAAGAGGACCAAAACAAAAAAGCGTAAAGTTATAGGATCATTTGTCTCATTTTCCCTGTCTTAATTATATATATGATTTTTCTTGAAATTTCAAATCATGCTCTTTGCCTCACTCCATGTGCGCGCACGTTAGAACTACTTCCCCGAGAGCACCCCTTTCACGTTTCAACACGCAAGACGCAACACACTCCCATCTCTAAGCCCCGCGCAAGTTAGCCTCACCACCACCATTTTCACCATGAAAACCCCCCTTCACCTCCTCGTTTTCTTCCTAATCGCTGCCGGAACACACAAATTCTACAGATTTTCCGACGCGGTCCAGCGCCGTGTCCACATACCGGACGAGCTGGACGACGTCGTCGACGACGAGGAGGGCGAGGACTGGAAAGAATGGGGCAAGCCCAAGGCGCAGCCTGATTTCGACCCGCCGCCGACGGACTTCTCCAAAATGGGGCTCCAACAGATGCAGGAAGAGATGATGAAGCGTCAGGTGGGGCCTGTTTTCGGGTTCGTCAAGCTCCGACCCGGAAATCCTCGAACTCCGGTAACGAATCACCTTGATTTGGCTCTGTTATCCTCCTTTCACTTCTCGTGAAGTTTCAGATCAATGTGCATTTTTTCCCATTTTCTTTTTTCCCCTAGTTAAACTTCAATTAGGGTTAACTAAGAGGCCTGCCACTGGTAATTTTGCCTTGGTATACATTTTTGCCCTTCTAAGTTTACTGTTGAGCTCCCAATGTGTGTTTCTAGTTTTGAAAATGGGTCATCGAGATTCTACATGCTCTTAAATGAAATGAAATGAGCCGTCCGTGAGCTCGGCTCGGCTCGTTTGTCGTTCAAAGCTCGTTTAGTTAACAAGTCAACTCGTCTCGGCTTGCCAAGGCTCGAAAATAAGGATTTTTATGTAATTTTTTATAGCTCAGCTCATTAAGGCTCGACAACTCGGCTGGATAAATGTTCGAGCTCGAGAACCAAGAGCATTAGCTCCGCTTGGCTCCTTTACATCTCTAGACACTGCAAATTTTGAAAGATAGCAGGTGGAGTTTGTAAATTACCTCTTTTAGTTATTGTAGAAATTTGAGGTAATCTGTTTAGTGACTCAATTATCAGTGGAGTTTTTTTATCAGGCAAAAGCATGAGTGCAAAACTGCAAATGGTTTAGATGGGGATAAAATTTCTCTTCCTGTAGTTTGTTAGAGAACATGGGATTATGAAAAGAACTGAAAATAGTGTACCCAGCAAGATGCGAATATTTCGCATTTCTTGAAGTTCCGATGAATTTATGATGTGCAGTTGATGGTAAGAGGAATAAACACAGCCATGATATAAAAATGGACTAGGCATTTGATAAGGTTCGGTTTTTACAGGATCCGATGTTGCTCACCTTCAGTTAGCAAAATTAGTCAAACTTAGTGTACCGATCAAGATGCGAATATTTCGTATTTTCTTGAAGTTTTGGTGGATTTATGATTGTGCAGTCGATGGTAAGAGGAATAAACACAACTATGATATGAAAATGGACTCGACATTTGATAAGGTTCAGTTTTTACAGGATTCGATGTTGTTCACCTTCAGTTTGGCGAAATTAGTCGAACTTAACTCTGGAAGGAATCAATCTATTTTTCAAGATTATCTTAGTCCGTTCATTTCATTTCATTTCCTAGATATTTTGACTTCACAAGAAAGAGAGTCCATTATGTCTTGTTTTTGCTTCCCTTCCAAAACAACAATGAACTTTGTGGCTTTGGTGATGAATTTCTTACAGGACATGGTATCAGAAATCGCCATGAAATGGACGAAAGTTGCAAGAACAGGAGCAATTGAGTCGAGGTTCACGGGCGTTGATGTCAGCACAATCATGTTCACCATGCAAAAGGGTCATGACACATTGGAGGTTCGTTTCTTGTTGGCTTAAGGGCGTGCTTGGATACAAATCAAAGCGAGTTTTTTTTGTTAATCATGGTTAATTTAAAAAAAAAGTATTTATTGTTAATTGTCAGTAGGATTTTGAGTTTATATTAAAGTAATATTCAAAATAAAATAATTATAGTTGATTTTATGGAAATGTCGGAGAGATGATGTGAATTGATAGTTAAAGTTATGTGAGTGAATGTGTAAGAATGATTGATTAGTATTTATTTAATTATATTGATAATATTAAGGATAGTGTAGTTGAGTTAGGGTTGAGTTAGATTTTGAGTATGGATTGAATATGAATTGAGTTTATCACAAGTTGGAACATCATGCTTGATGTGTAGGAACACACAACTCACACACACGTTGTCTGATTTCTGGATAACAACATTCTTCTTCTTCCTCTTTTTCTTTTTTTTGCAATGGTTTTCAGTTGAAAGAATTCATCTTGAGTCGACCGGAGGCTTATGAGATCAAAATAGGCGATCAACTGTTCAGAAGGCCCGGGGATCCTTCGTTTGAAGAAGTTTTTCAAAAGCTCCAAGCAGAGAGAGCTAATTCCAGAAAAGTTGAAATTCATAACGAGCTTTAGTCGTTTGAATGACAGCCGTTTATTATATCAACTTCAATTGTATGATGTTTTTATTCTAAAATGTTATATATATGTATATATATGACTGGATATACCCAGCTGATTTTGGTGTATGGTATATACTAGTAAGAAGTGTTGGTGCAAGTGAAAATTATCAGGATTATTATTAAAAATTACTACATTGAATGTTCTTCCCCAAAATTGCAAACATCTCATTGATTCTTGTTTTCCTTTTACAAATTGCATCCTTAAAGCATCTCCAACCATTTGTCACATTTCTACTCTATTCCAGAGTAGTGCGAAAAACTTGTTCCAATGTTGCGCTACATGTAGCAGGGTACTGTTCGTTGTGCTAAAATTCTTCTCCTTCAAATGTTAATTTTTTAATTGGTTTTTATATATAAATATTATTTTGATAAAATATAGAACAATAAAACTATTTATTTTGTTAAATAATTTAAAATTTTGATCTTATAGTTGTCTTTAAATTTTATTTTGTATTAGACGAAAGTTAAATTTTGGCATTCTTTACTCTAGAGTAAACTGTCTAGTAGAGTAAATGATTGAAGATGTTCTTAAGCGCTGTATGCCTGTATGTGATCTTTTAAGGGTTTGGCTTGGCTGTAATTTTACAATATAGCTGAGTTTTTTTGTAATTGTCCAAGAAATACTTGCAATTGGGTGGTTCGAACCGTCAGATCACACACACATACATGAGTATGTGTTGATCCGACGGTTCAGACCTCAGATGGGGGTTGGTGAATTTTTCTCTTGCAATTATCTATAAAATAGTAAAAAGTAAAAACAACATTTGCAACTTGCACAATTGCCCTTATGGCTTATGAGTTATAATACATAATGTTGACAATGATGTAGCTCAAGTCATCAATAAATTCACAATTATTTAAGAAATTGAAGTTAAGTTAATTGAGGTAATTTTCACCACAAAAAGGATCATTTTAGCTTCTTGCTAAAGCTGGACAACTGAAGAAGTTGAATTCTGGAAATGCTTGCAGCCTCCTCTCGCTCTTTCTGAGTGTTGTATCCCCAATCTCCTGTTTTTTTTTTTTACTCATTTTTAATAACCCCAATAATGCAAAATGGCAATATAACCGAGGCCTATGAAGTTCGTCTAATGACAGAACTTGAATTACCTAGGTATAGGTTCCACTTGTTCAACACTGGCTCGTTTATGACATTTTTCAAAGTTGTGAGTCGATCTTCAACAAAGCTACACGACACAGAGTACATCCCAAAAGTTTCGGAGTTTGATAAGCACCCGAAAAAACATTGAAGAGCATTAGTAGTAAACGTCAAATAAATATCGATGCACATTTGTGATTTGAGAGATATAATCGGGTTTTTCTTGAAATTATATTAAAATATATTTTATCCCCTAAAAGGATCTTACTGAAGTGATAGACCCTGGTGTTCTGGCATCTCCTGAAGCAGCTTCAGAACTTTCACCTTAGGCCTGACAAAAATTTTCACATATTCAAAGACAATTTCGGGATTTTTTTTTTTTTTTTTTTTTCCTTTTTCAATGTACATCTTAATCTGAAAATGACTCACCCAGTACCCAAACCATAGATTCTCTCCGGTGGAATAGTGATTCCAGCAAGCTCTCGAAGTAAAGCATCCGCAAATCGAGACTGTAAAAAAGTACTCCAAAAGTTATTTGTGTAGAGTTTGGACAAAAGAAATCCTTTAGGCAGTTGTTTTGTAATAAAAAAAATTGGGTCTTTTTGTCAATCTACTAACCTGTTTTGTCGTGACAATGTATAACTTCGAGCTTGCAAACTTTAGAGCTTCCGAAACACCCGGGTAAAATCTGCAAGTTCAGTAAAAGTTGTAATAATCAAAATCTACAAGGACTGGATAAAAAAATACAACAATCACTAATAACAGAACTTTTCCAGTCATCTAACAAAATTTGCAAATGCTCACCTCAAAATAGGTGCACAGACTGAATAATCATGATTACGGACGATCATTTTCACATTCCGAAAAGGATATAAAATTTACCTATTTGCCCCTATCCACGTCGAAAGGTCATTGTCTATCCATTCATCCCTGACTTTTCCAAAGAGATCTATCAGATCATCTCTGTTCTCTTCCCATTCGGACATAATCACGGGTTTTATTTTCGACCAGTTTTCAAGTATTCGCTCAACTGTGATCCCCTCAGCAACCTTGCACAGAATATAATCTTAGAAATTTATCCAACTAGTCCGGTAAAAGGTTTAAAAAAAAAAAATGTTCCAATATAAGGGTTAAATTTTAAATACCCACTGAGGACTTGCGGATAGAAGGAATTTTGGATTCCAGCAGTAATCTCACGAGTAATAGATTTTCGTATCCAGTTTCCACTACCGGTCGAACCTGGCACGAATTGACGAGTTAACCAGCTCTATCATTTTTCAAAAAGAAAAAAAAAGCAAGCAGCAATAAGTATCATCATTTTCTTTTCATCGTGTATTAAAATATGATCCAAATAAGATAATCTCCATATGCATCAACAGCTCGAGGAAACTATTGATTTATCAAATACTAAAAACACCTTGTTGAAAGAAGAAATTCTGCAGAATGCATTCATATTTATTCGATTCCATTTGAGCTACCAATACTAAGGGTCACAATCAAATCGCAACAAGCACAAAGAATATCAATGCAGTAAAAAAAAGAACAATTTATACTAGTAATTATGTGATCCAAAATTCAAGACAATAGTAGTTTTTTAAAAGATTTCAACACATGAAGATAAAGCTGTAACTGGAGAGACATGATAAACCAAATATATGAAGAAAACATTACTATATGCATCTGTAACTGGAGAGCCATGATAAACCAAATATATGCAGAAAACATTACTATATGCATCTGATCAACGATCCAATCCTCAATCGATGAGTCCACGCCATTGAACAGATTAGGCCATCTCACTTTAGCAGCCTAAAAAGAAAAAAACACACATAAACCCCAACAAAACGATACCAAAACTGAAGTTCGAAAAAAAAAAAAACAACACCATTCACCTAAACGCACATGAATAATGAATATGCATTCTCACAGCAAAATTACAACAGAAGAGCATAAATAAAAGCAAAAACCATCATTTTTGTTGCATTATATTAACCAATGGCAAAAGCTCATCAAAGACTATAACCATAGTGTTGTGTGGCCGTCTCGTTTCCACCGCTTCAGTCCTTCTCCAGCCCTGCGGGGGTGCTGCTCGTGTTCGGGCCACCCGGACAGCCCTCTTTCAATCCCGGGCTGATCCGCTGCCAATGAGTCGAGCGGTGGGATCGGG